CACCTCCTCGAGGAGCCGACCCGCATAGGATTCGGAAAAAAATATGTGATGGAACCCGTTCCCCCCAAGCGGCGTAGAAATCCAACCAAGCTCTATAGAAACGGAGACCTATAGGCCCATAGGGTGCGGCCATAAGGCTCGCGAGAGTGCGAGAGGAGTGGCGGCGTGGCACGCGCCGACCAGAACAAACTCTCAGAGATTCCACTTCCTGACAGATTTGCGCCCGGACGTCCTACTGGCCGTACATGGCTTGGAATTCAGGATGCGACAACAGCACAGGGAAAGGAGAAAGAGTAGAAAAAAAACGTGTATGAAATGAGTCTTTGTTGCTGAAGAAAAACACAATAATATACTTTTTGCGAGCGGTCCAACGGTATTAGGCAATTGGAGCTGCCAAGGGAAGGGGGTGAGGGGCGGGGGGCGAGAGAGCAGAGGGGAGGAGGGGAGACGTGGGGCAAACAAATATCGAACTGGCACATCACTGCGTCGGAGATTTCGGTCCGCCTTTTATAATCCGCGTGCTGACTGCTGGACTGGGACTGACCATCAGATCCGCTGCGCCGTGACTCGGCAGCTGGCTTTACACTCTCAAAAGGTTTGCAAAGAACCCTCGCACAGCTTGTGTGTGACTAGCACAGGGACAGGGTGTTACAGCGGGCTAAGGGGCCAGCCCAGCAGCTGAAACGCCAGTTAGTGTCACGCGCTATAGCCACATTCTGATTTGCAAGCTCTCGAAGCCTGAGGGCAGGCCGAAGGCAAACACACTTAGACGACTGTGACTGCCAAGCAAATGGCAAAATGCGCCAAAAACTACTACGTAACTGGTCTAAAAAAAGTGAAACAGAAGACACCACGCTGACAAAAGAGGACGTTACATTATTTAAAGTGTCATCTACTGAACAGCAAGTAGTCCCTTAAGTTCGCATCTCTAATTTAGTTCTCTAATTTGCTGTTAGACAGCCCGCTTTGCAGAATCCCCCTCAACCGTTTCGCAGTGTGAACAGAGAGAGCGCGCTTTACAGATGTGCGCTCTCAGTTCCAGTCGACGCCTTTCTCCGCTTCCGTCAACGACAAAACCCTATATAGGCAGAATTTGCATTGTGACCAAATGTTCTCTACAGGTCGCCGCCGAAAGAAAAAAAAATGAAATAAAATGATTGAGGGCTCATCCTGGAGTAATGATTTGCGCATTAATCTGCTACAAACAAGTATCCCGAAATAGCGCTTAATAGCGAGTAAATAAAATCGCGAAGTAACCATCATAAACGTTAGGGAGTAGGAGAGTATACACCATAAATGTAACGCACCACATTTTATGTGGAAGGATGTTTTCTACACCTAGAAAAATAGTTTCTTGATTCAAGTGCACGCTGACACAAGATGAAATTCCACCATTGAAACAAGGCAGTATTGTCTTCGTACGAAAATATCAGATTGTTTCAAGAGTAAATTTGATCTTGTGTCAGCGTGCACTTGAAACAAATAAAAATTTACTAGAAACAAGAAACGATTTTTCTGGGTGTGGCAGGCAGTTATCATCTATTAGCAGCATGTCACAATGTTTCAATACTCACAGGTCTTCTCGAGTACGTGGGTGTCCTCCGCTGGGCGTTGGCAGGGTCCACCAGGCTCAACCCCAGCTGCAGCAGCAGTAGCAGTGACGCCACTCTCTGCCACCCCCTCCCGGGGCGCGGCGGCCCCCGCGCGCCCATGGCGCCCCACCGTTCTGTGCACAGGAAAAACAAAAACAAAAGTGTGAGCAGTACAATCATATATGATTGAGTGAAGAGAAAGAAAAAGGAACGACAGCTGATTGTTTAACCTCGAGCTAGTCGTTACACATGATCAGAACTTAACGCCAAGAAAAAAAAAGCACCGTATGACTGCTGACATTACGGCGAGGGATGTAGAAAAGCGATCAACAGGCAACATACGGCACGGCCCATAAACTGCACAAAGATTTCCCAGTGCTATCGCAGAGACATGGTGCACGTAATTGGCTGTCCAAGACTTGCAACCGTACTTATAAGTCTGCCACCCTCTGCTCCGCAATAATTGGCCTCTCTGAGACGTTAATGGTGAGCCCAATGCGCCAATATCTATATTTTAGACAAATTGGAACTTGCAAAATAAACACCAACGGTTTACTAGGATTTGTAAAAACATGCAAGGGTGAAGAAATGACGGAAACACTGGTAAAACAAAGGTGCGATACACTACCTTTCCAGGGGTGCTAAACTCGTTTTTGGGGTGCTAAAGTGTGTATTTTCAGATTTTCCCAAATATTTTCTGAATGAGCAAACCGATCACATTTTGGGATACATTGACGCATTTCTCGCAAAATTCCGCGTCGAACGAGCCTACATGTGATAGGGTTCTGATAAGCAGTCTGTGAATGAAAAGCAAGGCAAAAAGTACAAAAAATTCTATCAATTTGTGCCATTTTTGAACAGAACCCCATCACATGTAGGCTCGTTCGACGCGGAATTTTGCGTAGATTACGAAAATGGGTCTAAGAATCCAATTTAAGTCCATAGGAACGAAATATTTCGAAAAAACATAAGCTGTAATGCCTTTGGAGCTTTAGTGCCTTTTAAAGGTAGGGTATCCTACCTTTGTTTTACCAGTGAATAACCAAGTCATCGAGATGCAAAACCCAACAAGCTAACTACTCTCCAAACATGTTAAACGGGCTGCATCCCTGGGCTGCTGGCGGTCAAGTGACCCAGCTGATGAATTCCACGGTATCATTGACACCGCAATGTCGGCGGCTCCCGTCTCGATTAAGATCCGGCGTCGGGTGAGCGGCCTTTCGTGAAGAGATGGCGTACAAAGCGAAAGGCCCCACAACGATGACGAGTGAAAAAAAATATGGAAAGGAGGATTAGAGGGGGAAGGGGGCTTGAGGGAGGGGGGAGGATAAGGATATGTTTGAGCAGAGAAGAAACGTTTCAATTGGCGGAGCGAAGAAAGGGCACGTGTTTATTACCTCGTGAGGCAGGGAAAAAAACAGTTTGGACAATGTCTGAGTCGTGACAGTCGGGATATTCGTAACCGTACGAACGTTTTTTTGTGACATCACTTTCATTTTTATGTTTTCTTCTTGACAATAGAACTGCGAATGGTTATACTCAACCAACTACAAGAGTAGGGATGGTAATGTAATCAAAGTGACAGATTTTGCAAAGGTTAATCTGATAAGAATTAAGCCAAGCCAAAGTTTTTAATAGCAAAAATACCTACATAACCAATAGAGTCATCTTGAATCGTCCTGAATTAATTCACCAGTGCAACGTGATGAGTATTAAAGCTCTCTAAACAGCAAATATGTAGCACACATATACAAGGACATACGAGATATTACTTAAGTGTTTCCTGGTGTGATGAATCGTGTGCGGACGACATATTCGGGACAGACAGAATAGTATGTTGCACTACTACAGCCCTCGTCGCCACACAATGCTTCCGCGACAAGATCTGTGTCCCTCCCCTTTTCGTACTTCTGGCCACACAAAAAGAAAGTCGCCCGGCACAAACGCATGTCCCCATGCAACTATTTTGTCCGCAACGCGTGTCGCAAAATCTGGCCGCTACTTAGCAACTCCTTTTATCGTCGAGTCGGGTGCTGCTCGTTCCCCACTGGCAACATTAGAAACAGAGGTGAGGTGGGGAGAGCGGGGAGCGAGGGGGAAGGTGGAGGGGGGAAAGCTACGCCAAGCCACGCCACACCCGATGACGGATGCAAACGCGGTGATCTGACGGTGACTAATTGATCGAGCAGCAGCAGCAGCCACGCGCTCTGTCCCACAGTGTCCCGCCCCTGGGTGAGCGCCATCTAGGCGGCACTGCTGCTGCCGGTACCGCCACCCAGCCGGTCGGCCCGGTACACCAGCACCACGGTGCGCTAGACCCGCAGCCGCCTGACATTTACCATTCCAACTGGCCCAGTCCTGTCGCTGCGGGTCAAGCTGTCACCGACGCACCGCATTCGGGATGATCCTTTCGGGAAGAGCGTCGAGTTACATTATACGAGGAGAGCGTATAGTGAAACCGAAAAGCGTTGCGTGGACGAGAGGGCTGTTGAGCAGCTGGTGCAAT